ACTACACTACTCCTAACTAACTACTACTACTACTACTACGACTACGACTACTACTACTACTACTACTACTACGACTACGACTACTACTACTACTACTACTACTACTACTACTACTACTACTGCCACTACTACTACTAAGTTTTCTACGACTAAGACTGATACGATCATTACTACTACTATGACTACTACTACTACTACTACTACTACTACTACTACTACTACTACTACTTATACTTATAGTTTTACGTTTATTTCTACTACGACTACGACTACTACGACTACTACGGCTACTACTACTACTACGACTATTACTACTACCCCTACTACTACTACCACTACTACTACTACTACTACTACTACTACTACTACTACTATTATTACTACTACTACTACTGAAACTATTTCCACTATTACCACTACGACAAAGTATTGGTACTTCTGCTATTTCTACTAGTATCTGTTCTAGTTCTACTCTTTCCCCTACTTATGCATTTACTCCGATTCCCACTCCTACTCCTGCTCCTACTCCTACTCCGACTGCCTTCCTACCTCCCGCCCCCCCTTCCGTCATACCTTTCTCCCTCCCTCCTTCCCTCCTCCTCCTCCTTTTTCTCCTCCGCCTGCTCCCCCTTCTTCTTATCTTTCCTCCTCCTTCCTCCTCCTCCGTCTTCCTTCCTCCTTCTCCTTCTTCTCCTCCTCCTCCTTCTCCTCCTCCTCCTCCGCCTCCTCCTCCTCTCTCCTCTTCCTCCTCCCTCTCCCTCTCCCACTCCCTCCCCCTCTCCTCCTTTTCCCTCTCCTCCTTCCCCCTCTCCTCCTCCTTCTCCTCCCTCCCTCCCTCCCTCCCTTCTCCCTCCTCCCTCCTCTGTCAGCTAGCCGAGATTGTTTTGAACAAGATCAAGACCGCGGCGATCTGCACCCTCGCTGTTTTTCTTTGCCCACGGCTGGGGAGAGGGGCGATCTTGGCACCCCGCGGTCTCGCACCCCGCGGTCTTGCAATGGTCCGCCGCGGCCGTCTCCAAGCACTCCGAGCACCTGGGGGGCGAGGCCCTTTTGTTCCTTGGGCTAGCAGGCTTTCGACTGCCCGTCTTACTTCCATGTCCTTCCGAGCGAGTCAAGCCGCCGCCACCGGCACGCCCCCCGACCTGCGCCGAGAGCCGCGAGGGGCCTCGCCGGCCATGCAGAGCCTGGCGCCCCTCTCGACCGGAAGCGCTCCCTCCCCACGGCCTCCCTCGCGAATGAGAGCGAGAGAGAGAGAGAGAGAAACACAGAGAGAGAGAGGGAGAGAGAGAGAGAGCGATGAAGATCGGGCTTCTCTCCCTCCCCCCGATCCTCCTCCCTCGAATCCCCCTCTTCCCTCGACCCCCCTCCCCCCTTCCGAAGCTCCCAGACGCCAAACGATGCGATCTGTTCCATCCGCGCCCCCAGAATTCCCGACCCCTCCCCGTAGGGGCAGGCTATCCTCCCAGATCTGGTTTTCATTGTCTCGGGGCCCGATAACATGCCCCAGAGGCCGGCATCGAGGAACCAAATCCATATCGAAGAATCGAATCGTCGGAGGTCTGGGTCCTCCTCCTCCAGCCGAAGGAGGTTCCTATAGCTCGAGGTTCCTGAACCACTGGATATGTGTCGGGTTGCTTCGTTACGCGGTTTCTTGGATCCGAGGGACGCGGTGTTTTGGTGCGGTTCAGAGCATAGCCAGAAGGCCAATCTCGACCAGGCCCACGGAGATTTGGGGCCTCCCTTAATTTCAACTCAAGTGTGTCAGTTTCGCTGGTTGCGAGGGTGCTCCTCTCTATTTTCTATTTCCGCCAATTTCAGCCTCTTCCTCATGCTCCTCCTCCTCCTTCTCCTCCTCATCCTCATCCTCCTCCTCCTTCTCCTCCTCATCCTCCTCCTCCTCATCCTCCTCCTCCTCCTCCTCCTCTTCCTCCTCCTCCTCCTCCTCCTCCTCCTCCTCCTCCTCCTCCTCTTCCTCCTCCCTCCGATTATCCCTCCGATCCCCCCCGCGCGTTCCGAGACCCTCGCCCCCATGTTTCCGCCGTTCTGCATCGTTCCCCTGCATGTTCTCTCTCTCTCTCTCTCTCTCTCCCTCCCCCCCCCTCCTCTCGGCCGTCGTCCCCCCCCCGTCGCTCGCTCTCCTCCCTCTCCCGGCTCTGGGTTCGTCCCGGTCCCCAGGTGTCGTTCCCTCCTCTGCCCCTTGCTGCCGTTGCTCTCCCGGGTCGTCCACCTGCGGGCTTGTTGGCGACAGGGATGTGCATGACAGAATTTTAGACGTTCCGGGCCCTTGGAGCCGGGGATGCCGAGAGAGTTCCGTTGTTTCTCGCATTGTTTAATTGCGTTCGGCGGCTGTCATGCCGGCGCCACTCTTCCTGCCCATGCACCTCTGACGTGCATGGAGTGTGTCTCTCTCTCTCTCTCTCTCTCGCTCTCTCTTCTCTCTCTCTCTCTCTCTCTCTCTCTCTCTCTCCATCTCTCTCTCTCTCTCTCTCTCTCTCTCTCTCTCTCTATATATATATATATCCCCCCCTCGCGGGCGAGACGGCCGCGCCTTCCTCCCCCTCCCCGCCCGAAGACCGCGCGCCTTCCCGCGCCCGCCCGGGAGAGGCGAGAGCGCCGCGGGGCTCAGACCTCGGAACGCGGCCCTGGGCGCCGAGGACCCCGCCCCTTTTTTTTCGGGGGCGTGGGAGGGCTCCTCGCTGCTCGTTGTTCCATGGGTTCCCAGACGGAGACCTCTGGCCGCAATGCTTGTCACAGGTACTTTTGCGCCGACGGGGACCTCCAACCACAATGCTGGTTCACAAGTACGGCGGTGCTCATCACAAGTACTTTTGCGCCAACGGGGACCCCTTGCCACAATTCTTGACGCTTCGCGTATCCCCAGCAGTTTCTTACCGCCCTCTGGACTTTTCCTTGCGGGCCGCGAATCAAAAAAAATATCCCCAGCAGCCTCCCGTGCCGGGGTGGCCCCCCCGCGGCTGGGCTCCCGGTCTCCCCGCCAGTTCGGTGGTGTCGTCCCCCACCGGCCCTGGCCTCCCATTTCCGCACAAGTCGCGGTCCCTCCACCCCCTCGGGGGGGGCTACGGGCGCTTGTGGTTCAGCCTAGGCACTTCCGTGGCTCCACCGCGCCGCGGCCGCAACCCCGGTTTCAGTGCTGGTGTTCACCCCGCGGTGTCCGTGTACGTCTGTCGCCACCCCTGGTGTGCTGACTGCGGGCACGGCTCTCCCTCTTCAGGGCTTCTGGTGCGCGACTTTGCTGGCGCCACCTCTTGCACCCGCCAGGCCTCGGGTCGCAGATTGGGTTCCTGAGTTGCTTCCACGGCTTCTTCTGGGGTGCCCACGCGCCATGTTGGCCGCGCTGCAGCTCCGGCTGCTCTTTCGCACTCGTGCGTTCCGCTGCTGATGGACCTCTTGGCCTCGGCCACCCTGGTACTCCGCAGCTTGCTGATACTCACGCCCCCATTGGGCACACAATTCGACCAACGGCTGTCGGTTCACGTGGCTGCGGCCACCCTGGTATTTCCGCAGTCCTACGGGGGCCTACGCCCCTGCACTTTATTTCCTCGCAGCTTGCAGTCCCTGGCCGCCGATCCCCCTGGCAGCCAGCTGCTTTCGACGCGCTGCATGCGTGCACCCTGGCAGTGCAGCTCCCCAGTTGTTGCTGTCAGCCCTTTCCCACTCGCCGGCCCGGCCGCTGAGGTGCTGCGTGAGGCTCCGGCCCACCGCTTTAGGTTAATTCGTCTTTGCGCGCCAAGCTTTGACTGGACTCGCCGCTGGCGCGCTCGCCTGCGGCCGCTGACTAAAAAATACCCCCAGCAGTCTTACTCGCCGCTGGCGCTCTCGCCTGCGGTTGCGACTGAAAAAGTATCCCCAGCAGCCACAGCCTGGCCGTGTTTGCAGCCGCCGCCTTGCAATGGTGGGATGCACCTCCACGTGGATTGCTCATGAGTGGTTTAGCCTTCTTATTCAACCACTTGAGGTTGCCACTGTTGGTATGCGACACACTGGACTGCTTGCTCAGCCCCACGCTATGCCGTGCTCTGCTCGGTGGCACGTTTACCTCTGGCGCTTGGCGCGACAAGGTACAATTCGTTTGCCTGCCTGGTGGCCTCGCCCCTGGGGTGGTGGAATTTCAGCCGCCTGGCACACCTGGCACCTCTTGCAGCTCTGCCTTCAGTCCCCGGCGTCGCTCTGCGTCCCTCGGCGGCAGCTCCACCGGCCATGAGATCGCGCGTTTAGGTAACTAGGTTTGGTTCGACGCCCGGGCTGACTTCGGACGCCGCCCGCGTTTTCGCTTGCGGCCGCGACGGGAAAAATACACCCCAGCAGCCGGAGCCTTTTGGCTAAAGCCGTCTCCTGAAGGTGTTCCTCCCTCCGGGGTCAGGGCTCGAGAACACCCCTGGCCAAGCGCGGCCCCCCGGCGCCGATGGTGTCCGCCGCGGCGCGACGCCGGCGGCTGCGGGCGTCCGCTTGGGCGGCTCGCGTCGGTGGCGCCGCTGGCGCTGCTGGCGCCGCTGGCGCCACCGGTGCCGCTGGCGCAGCGGATGCCGCGGGCGCCGCTGGCGCTGCGGGCGCCGCGGGCGCCGTGGACGCCGCGAGCGCTGCAGACGCCGCGGGCGCCGCGGCGCCGCGGGCGCCGCGGGCGCGGGGGCGGCGGGCGCTGCGGGCGCCGCGGGCGCCGCGGCCGCTGCGGGCGCCGCGGGTGCGCGGGCGATCTGTCGCTCACCCAATGAAGAATCACCAGTAGCCCGCGGGGCAAGGAGCCCAGAGAGAAGCGGGGGCGGGAGGTGGGACGGGGCTACCGCGCACCCGCCCACGGGCCCCACCTCCCAGGCGTGGGACGGGGCTGCCGCGTGCCCACCTGCGGGCCCCCCACCCGGGCCGCCGCCCCAAAGGCTCCCACCACCACCACCCCGACAACCAGCACAGCCACCAGCACGACCAACGACAGCCCCACCCTACAGGGACCAGCAGCAACACTACGGGCAGGACTGGCAACAAAACCAACACCACCGCGACGCCGACCAGCAAAACACGACCAGCACGACCCCCCACCTTCACCGCCGCGACGGCCACCAGCAGCAACAGGGCGGGAGGTGGGACGGGGCTGCCGCGCACCCGCCCACGAGCCCCACCTCCCGGGCGTGGGACGGGGCTGCCGCGCACCCGCCCGCGGGCCCCATGCCCAGGCCTTGGACAACCCTCGAGTTCGAGAGCTAGAATCAAGAAGCGTTGCGAATATGCTTGCGGCGATCAGTCGCACACCCAGGGTAGAAGATGGCAACGACCTTCCAGTCCATTCGCCACCCCCTGCGGAGAGTCCCGAGGCCCCTCTTCCATATGTGCCCGCAGCGATCCGTCGCTCACCAAGAGAAGAATGAGCGCTGAGAATCATGACAACGGCTTGCGGCGATATCAGTCGCACACCCAGGGTAGAAGATGAGGGAGTCCCCTCTCACGCGACACACCAGGGGAAGCATCGGAAAGCGGCATCACGCCCGCTGCCCCTTTCGACCACTACATGCTTGGCGAAGGCCCGAAGGCGCAGCTGCCGACGACGGCGACGCCGACGCCGACGCCGACCTCGACGGCGACGACCCCGACGCCGCCGACGCCGCCGCCGACGACCTGGGGACAGACGCCGAAGACGACGACCTCGACGACGCCGACGCCGACGCCGACGCCGACGACCTGGGGGCGAGGCTTCCTGAGCATTTACAAACGGAACGATCGAGTGCCGCGCGCCAGGTGATTGACCTGAGCCCTTGACCTCGTCTTCCTGCGCCCCTCAAGCGGGATCGATCCGCGGTTATTGCCGACCGCGGGCATCCCTCTGCCAAGGCTTTTCGAGCGCTTGCAGCGATTAGCTGCTTACCACGGGCATTCCTCCGCCGTGGCATCTCGAGCGCCTGGCGCCGACGCCGACGACGACGCCCCCGACGACGCCGACGTCGACGCCGACGACCTGGGGACTAGGCTTCCAGAACTTTTGCAGACGGAGCAATCGAGCGCCGCGCACCAAGTGATTACGGCCGGCGCCCTTGACCTCGTCTTCCTGCGCCCCTCGAGCCGGATCGATCCGCGCGCCCTGCTTACCGCGGGCATTCCGGTGCCGAGGCTTCTCGAGTGCTCGCAGCGATCAGCTGCTCACTACGGGCATTCCTTTGCCGAGGCACCGCGAGTGCTTGCAGCGATCAGCTGCTTTCCACGGGCACCCATCCACGCGGCCGCCGCAAAGGTCCAAGACGGTTGGACTCGGACGAACGTGCCTCAGAGATCAGCGGCCGGCCCCCCCCCTGGCCCCGCCTGGGGAACCGTCCGGCAGCCCTGTTTCAGAGCGCAGCCGCCCCGCGGGCAGCCCAACACGAGCTGCCCGCGGTCGCGCTGCCGCTCCTTGCCATCGCCTTCGGGCCCGCGCACGTGAGTCGCAAGGTATCATCCTACGGCATTTTAAGTCCCACCTGTACGACAAGGTGTCCTTGGCGTCGGGCACGCGCTGGGCTCTCGCCTGCAGTCGTCTTCACTTGCCCGGGCCCGGCGCCGTCCAGCGGCTTCTGGATCGCGCCGGGGCTCTCCGCGTCGGTCGCCCTCGGGCCCGCGCATGCGAATCGCAAGGTGTCATCCGACGGCTTTGATGTCCTACCTGTGCGACAAGGTGTCTTTGGCGTCGAGTGCGCGCTGGGCGCTCACCTGTGGTCGTCTTCGCTTGCATGGGCATGGCGCAGTCCAGCGGCTTTTGGATCGCGCTCGCCAGGCGTTCGGCGTCGGTTGGCGCCCACCCGACGCCCGCCCACCCCCAGCCCCCGCCCCCGCCCCTCGCCTCGGGCTCGCGCGCGCGAAGCGCAGGGCGTCAGCCGGCTGGGCCCTCACCCGTGGTCGTCTTCGGGCAGCGGCAAGGCAGGGCGACGCGACGCCACTCCGGCCTCTCTGCCCCGACTGGTCGGACACCCGCCGGCGCGGCCCCATCCTCGGCATCCTACCATCATCCCCATCACCTGCGTGCCCCCCCCCCCGTGCCACCGCGATGTCGATGCCTACCTCGCAGCAGCGAGCGACCAGCTCGGGGCAGAAACGGCCTCCCCGCTGGCAATGGCATGGCACGTTCCCTACTTGGATCCAGCATCCGACGACGCCTGGATCACTCTCTGCTCCCAGGAGGGCCCCAAACCGGACGACTGTTGTGACAACGCCTGAAGACGCAAACTGGCTTGCACCTACATCCGTTCGATCTACACCGACACGCTTACCGACGACGGAGCCCCGCCTGGCACCACCTGGGACGGCAAGACGCGGGGAGCCGCGTGCCTGGCACGTCGCTTCGCCCAAGAGCCCCTGCCAGGACAATCCTGGAAGCGCTACGCCAAGAGGGGCGCCCCGCTCAGGGGCGCCAGCCCCGCCCACCACAGCGCTCGCACCCTGGTTGACTGGCTCGACAGAAAATAATGCGACGCGCTAACGGACGATATCCTGTCAGATCGAGAAATAGACAGAAGCAACTCAGTTCACGCGACTACGCCGTCGGGCGAGGCCACGCCCGCGCAGGCTACCCACCCCCCACCCAGCACACAGGCCGGAGCAGAAGAAGATGGGACCACGGGCACAGCGACTGGCGACCGAGGGGCACTCCCACCCAACCCTCAGGGGAGGACGGAGCGTCTGGCCA